AGAAGGACAGGAGACCTGATGGCCTATTTTAGTCCTGGCAATGATGGTCCCTCAGTTGATCCAACTTTCTTTTGAAAGAGTCGACAAATGGAGCCTCAACCACATGCTGAGGTAATCAGTTTCACTCGTTGATGATTGGATGAGAACGTCGATAGTCAGCTGACAAGTAATTTGTTCTGGCCTTGTGAACTTTTATGGAGTGTACTCGTAAATTCTCTGTTTCGGAAGAGAAGAAAAATGAGGGCATATCAGGTGCAAATTTGGCACTAAGCAATTTGAAAACTGTTATCAAGTCGCCTCTAGTTCTGCAATATGACAACGGGAAAAGGTTCAGCTTGGCCATTCGAGCTTCATACGGAAGCTCCGCTATTCCGGGAGTCAGCTTAGTTGCCGTTCTATGAACGTTTTCCAGAAGCTCACTGTCCTTTTTTAAGCAGGGGCTAGCCGTTTGTATGCAGTACTCAAGTTTAGGACGTACGAACACTGTATACAAAGTCAAAAACGTTTTAGCGTCGACATGACTAAAAGCCCTACGTACTGACCATAACGTTCTAAAACTTTTGGCAGCAGTGTGCGGTAGTCTTTAAGTCTTGGCTAACGATAACTTCTCAGTCATTATATGTCTGAACGACAGGTAGCTCACTGTTATTCATCGTGTATGTATCTGTGCCTTGATGACCGATATGCATCACAACACACTTGGAAGTATTTATCGGCAACTGCCAGGTTTGAGACCATTCAGATAGTTTCTTCAGGTCATTTTGGAGTTCTAAACTATCATCCTCACATCGTATCGTTCTCCATATATTGATATCGTCAGCATATAGCAAGACCGATGATGATAGGAGACGAGGAAGGTCATTTACATACAAGAGGAATAGCACTGGCCCAAAACTGTACCCTGGGGCACTCCACTAAGCACAGTTTCCCAGCTAGATAACTTTGAGTTCACCCGAACTCTTTATCGACGCCCAACTAAGAAGTCTTTTATCCACATAAATAGATTGCCTCCAATCCCGACATTTCTTAACTTATATAACGACCGGCTGTGCGCACCAGCTTTCACGAGCCACTAATAAGTTAGTGAGACAATAGTAACCTATTCTGAAACAGTGCTGCTTCTCCGAAATGAGCCGGTTTTTATCAAGATACTTAAACAGCTCCTTCCGAATAATCTTTTCTAAGATTATAACAACCACACTAGTTAGGCTAACGGGGCGGTAATTCTCAGGTTTGTGTTTCCTACCTGTTTTGAAGACAGGACTTACCATGGCATTTTTCCAGTCTTTGGGTAAATGACCCTGCGTTACGGACAGGTTAAAGCATATACTTAAAGGGTTCTCAACGAAGTTAGATAATTCCTCCAGTAGCCTAGGATGTAATTCATTGGGCCCCGTGGATTTATCTATGTCAAGCTTATTTAGTAGACCAAAGACATCGAGTTCTTTAATGGTCACTCTATCCAGTGTATGTGTGGGGGATCTGTATGCTCTGATGGGAAGAGTGCTTCTATGGTGTTTACATTGCTAAAGTAGTTTGAGAACACTTGAGCCTTACCGAAGTCGTACTCCACTAGTGACGCGGCAATGCTGTCTCCCCATAGAGCAGGAATATTTCCTCTTCTCTTTGTCCTTTGGTTTATATAAGAATACAAGCGTTTAGGACATTCTATGGATTCCCTAACAATATTTTCTTCGTGCAACTTTCTAGACTTACGGAGGGTCGAGGCACATGTATTCCGGAATTTTCTATACTGGGATTTAGTTTCATCAGTCCCCAGTAACCTAAATATATCCCACATTTTTCTTCTCTTACGGAGAAGGATGCGGACCTCCCTACCGAAACATGGCGGGGAGTTTCTCGGCCCCCTTGGTATGGTCCAAGGGATGTGGGGTGTGGTAACTTTTAAGTATGAATTTCGAAATGCGTCCCAGGCGGTTTCAATTGAGGACTATGGGTCTATAGTCCAATTTACTAACGATGCTGAGTGCATGATATCTGGTATGTTTGCTTTCCAGATGTCAGGTCTGGATTGAGCTAACGCGTGCTCGTGATTAACAGCTATATGGAAGTCGAAAGTTAAAACTGCGTAATCACTTTTACGTATAGGTGGCATGTAGCGGAGGTTTGTAACGTCATCCTCGTACTGATTCAATATAAGATCTAGTAAGGATGATACAGTGTCCGGGTCGTCCCTAGTCACTTCTTTCACATGTTGCACTAGAGCACATGTGATAACCGCATCAACTAGCTCCTGCACGAAGGAATTATCTGACGACTCAGTTCGCAGATTTTTCCAGTCTACCATAGGTGCATTAAAGTCCCCTAGGACTAGACATTGGCCACTTTGTGACCAAGTATTGAGACTACTTAGAAGGATCTCATTTACACCTCAGCTTGGACTGCGATAGACCAAACCAATCAGCAGCTCTTGTCCCTTGCATTTCAAGCGGAGACTAACTAATTCAAACGTCCCACTCTCATGGGATACACTGTCAATAATGGCAAATGGGATAGCATTCCTAATGAATAGAGCTACTCCCCCTCCTTTACGCTGATGTATTCTGTAGGTCCTGACTAACGTAAAACCCTCGAAATCAAGTTCCATACTATCTATAGTCTGTGTCAGACAGTTTTCTGTAACTGCGATTACATCTGGCTTTGTAGAGTCAACCTGTACACCTAGTTCCGATCACTTATTAAGTAAGCTCCGGGCATTAGTGTAGCAGATCCGAAGCCTCTTTAAGTGCCTTCGTGCTTCACCCAGAGTGGCTTCGGCATCATTCTCTGTCAAATCCTTACAACCCAAAAATTTACAATTTTCAAGTCATTTTCGCCGGAGTCTAACCTAGGTTGTAGTTCTTTTCTGGCTTTCTGTCTTTTTACACGGTCTGCTAACGGTAAGTCCTTTCGTATAAAGACTCCGGAACCCTTTAATTTGTATCCATTCTGTAAAATTAGGTCACGTTCGTTCGAAGAGTTGAATACTACTTTAATCAGTCTGGAATGATTTGGTCTCAAGTCTGATAGACTCCCTAGTCTGTATACCTTTTGCAAGGTGACCCCGGATATATTTTGAGGCATGAGTTGATTAAGCAACTGCTCGATCAGCACAATATCATGCTCAAAACGAGCTTCAGGTTCAGAGCTCTCGCTCTCCTTGATTCTATGAAAAATAGCTGATCTGTCGCTATGATCAGCTTTCGATTTTACGGCTACTTTCGCGGAGGTAGGACTACCTTTTATATCGCTTCATTTTTTCTTCCTTACAACTTGTACCCATTCGTCAACGGTGCTGGGAGAAGAAACAACAGTTGCGTCGAACCTAGTGTTGGATTCTGGGGGGTTGTCGCTGACCTGAGAGGTCAGGTTATGTTTACCGCTTGAAACCGATCGAGCCTTGCGATTGCGGCTTCTAGGTGTTTACTGTTGGATCCCATCTGGGGGACGGGGAACAGAAGAACCTACTTTCCTTGAGCTTTTGTTTAAGGCAGGCCCCTTTGGAGACTACTTTTCCTTCTTTGACCGGCGTGAGTCGTCTGTTATCGAACTAACCTTGGTTTTCTTCATGTCGATTTGTGTGACGACAGATAAAGTTCTGTTTGACGTATTCCGACTACGCTTGCTAAAACAATTCTTTGCAGCATCAACCAGTGAGATGGCCTCGTTTAACATGCTGTTTGCATTCGAACAGCACTGTTGACAAAGCCATATGTAACACTTCTTACTGAACCGTTTGAAAGCCGCAGGCGTTAAGTTCGTGCAAACTTCGTGGTACCAGCCTTTGAACTTGTCGCACTTCGTGCCGCTTTCAATGGGATAACGACAACCCGGACGTTGGCAACTGCTTTTTTTTTTACACTGTCCGGTCATTTAAAAGGAGTCCTTTTAAAAAAGAAACGAGATGCGATAATACTCAGAAACAAAAAATAATCAATGACCAAAAAGTGAAGAACTGTAGGTTGTTAGGACCGAAAGTACTAACAGATACAATTGAAAATGAGGTACTCAAGAGTACCAACGACAAAACTAAATGAAAGAACGGTAAAAAATGTACTCTAGTCGAATACTTTAACTGAAATGAATTCAATTAAGGTGAAAACAATAGTCTTGGTACGTAATAAACGATCAAAACAATGAAATTTACTCAGCAAGAAAAAATACCACTGTCCTTTTTTAAATAGCGCGCACTCGTCCAGATATCGTCAGTCGACTTTCTTTCTCAAACAGAGAATATTTCAAGAAGAATCCAAAAAGACGCGAATCAGAAAATATACTGTTTTTGTTGTTACTGACTGGAATTGAAATTTGTTTATGCTGTTCAGTATATATCACCACTGAGTTCAAGCGCTCAATTCCAATCAAGGCCACTTGGTATGCTTTAGCTGCCATTGAGGTATTAGTTGTGTAGATGTTCCTAGCATCTCAGTTGTATAAGTTTTGGGTAGTATTTTTGAATATGTTACTGAGGTATATGAGTTGATGGTGTGTTTTATTGAGTGTTCACGTATTATCGGCTTAGCTCTACTAATACGAAATTACCTGATTTCCCACCATCTCCCGATTTTGGGTTTTCCATCGAGCCATTTAAAAATTAGTCATTTCTCCTCGCATTCGGAGAAATGTTTGTGGAAGGCATTGGACTAATGAGAATTCCGATGGCTTCTCAGTCAGTGGAAATTGTATGGAAAAACTTCAAAACTAGATTAGCTCTTCTAAACACGAATGTCCTGCGTCAAAAAGTATTTAAGCCATTCAAGGGATGATGACAATCGACACTTTCTTCACATATCAGAATATTGTACTTTAAGGATTGGCAAACTATTGGAGCTGATAAAAGCTTGCACGTTCCCAGTTGAATGCTTTTTAAATTAAATACTTGTATTTAATTGCAATATTGTCTTCATCCACTGCATTATCCATTAATTTTCAGCTTCGCATGTTTATCTGACCTAGTTTTTACGATCATAGTATTTTGTGTGATGAAGTAGTTTATTACTATGTCGTCACGACGTGATTCCTGTTTAAGATTTAGTAAACCTTGTTTCTGTGAATTGTCAAACACACCTAACCATTCTTGGAAAAACTTATACAAAGTTGAAGGTGACCCTATTGGACGGTATGTTTACTTTTGGACTAACAGTTTGTATAGTGGTTATGCCGGGAAAGTTTACAAAATTACTACTGGTAACATGGAGCTACTGGATCCTTTGATAGTGACGAAGTCCCAGCTCACAGCAACAATGTATTCAGAAAGTGCTTATACTGAGCCCGGAGAATACTTAGCCTGCAAAGTCATCCGTAGATTTCGTGGAGGAAAGGATACTATTGCAAAAATTACCTCTGAAGTTCAAGCTATGGTCAGTTTGCAAAGAGATCATCTTAATACTTATCATAACTCTGTGTATAATAAGCCATCTGATAAACCTTCCAGAATTTGTAACTATCGAGTTCCTCCTAAATCAGCCTCACCTAAGCTGTTCGCAGTATATAAAGACTCAATGGAAGTTGCTATTATCATGGAGTAGTAAGTTTTTGGTTTAATTAAATGTATTGATTGATATACCAGTTACTGTGCTGAAAGTTTGAATATAATTCATATCATAGCTTTTTTACAATCTGATTAAATGTTTATCAACATTTTCAATATTATTGCATTTGGTTTTATAAATTGCCACTTAAGATTCTAGTACAGATGGGTTTCGTATGAACTTGCCAACTTCCTACCTGCATGAACATGTATTGAATCATTTTTCCGAATTAGCTTTCTAAGAAACAAATCTAACTTGGATGGTATTATAGCTCATAGATATTGAAAGTATCACCACGTAAATTTATGCAACATCGAAATCTCATTATGAGTGTCTTAATTTTAATGTATGTATTGATATTCTGTAAATTTTTGTGTTCACTACCTATCAAGTTACTTACGCTGAAACCAGGTTAAAAAATAGGATTCTCCTGAAATATTGTAAGTCTTGAGGCCTTTAAATAAAAATATTTATGACTTCTTGCTCTCGAAACAAAAATACTAAATCAACGTAACTGTGAAATAAAGCTCTCCTCAGACGCTTCATTTTCCTTTTCAGTTTTAGTCACTCTTAATTTTTTTTCCGTCGAAAACTCTTGTGATACCGTATTTCGCCTTTCATGAGGAATGTTATCAATATTTCTCCGGAACAGACTTTGTCAAAATAGTTACGAGTGATTTCCCACCGGAAATCGAAGACAGAATGTTTCAAAATTATTCAGAAGATATTGTCGCCTTGGTATCCCACGTTAATTAGTTTGAAATTGACTTTGTAGATATAGTACAGAGCTCATAACTAACAAATAAAACAATTCATATGATTGAAAAAGACTCCACAGATACCAATTTTGAAGTGAAATTGCTTATTTATGTCTGTTACCCCTCATGGAGGAACATAATCCGTCCACTACCAGCATTCTCCATCCAACCTTGTCTTGGGCGATCCTTTTCATGTTCGCTTCCGATTCCCGACTCACTATGTTCTTTTGTCTGTCACTTTTACCATTTCCACTCATTATTCGAAGTTGGGGCTTGCCCCGTGATGCAGTTTATTAATTTCCGTAATGTATGTCTTACCCGTTTCCATCGTCTTTTCCTAATTTCCTCTTCAGCTGGAAGCTGGTTTTTTCTCTCCCACAGTAGGCTGCTACTAATGGTATCCGGCCAACGGACACTAAGTATCTTTCGTAGACAACTGATTATAAATACTTGTACCTTTTTGACAATGGTTGTAGAAGTTCTTCAAGTTTCATCTCCGTACAGTGAAACTGTCGTCTAAGATCCTCAACTCGGAAAGGCCAGGTTTCACAAGCATAGAGCAAAACTGCTCTCACCGACGCGTTGTAGATCCGACCTTTTACAGCCAGACTAACATCACAAAGGCACCAAAAATGGCCCAGATTGGCATAAGCCACTCTGGCTTTCACTATACATGCATTGATCTCATCACTCACGCCAACACCAGCACTTATGCTGGTGGGATTCTTCAAATCTTCAGAATTTGTTTACATTAAAACATATGGCGTTAAATTTTTAAGACGTTTTAATATCTGTAGATTCCTGATAATAATAATTGAACGATGCAGCGTGTCATAACTTTGTAAATTTCAACATTGGTCATTGGAATAGGATCCTTGAGACAGCAAATAATTTCCGTCATAGTTATCAAGTATATAATGTGAAGATGTAAAGTGTTTTCTCGCTGAGGAAGATAATTACTTATTTACTGTATTTCATGAGGTGGCATACAAAACTGTCTCATTTTTGTTCTGGGTTCTACATTGGCCATAATTTAAACCAAACTTGACCAAGACAGAAACAGAAATTGCATCCAACTGATTTAATTAAGTTTTCCCGTTTATTTTAACGGCTCGCAACGAACAGACTATTGACAATAATTCAGTTTGTAAATTGTATGGGCATACAAGTTACATGTCATATAATGAAAATCTGATTTGTCCATTGTAATTCAAATTGCTTATGAATTCGGTATAAAGTTTACGCGATTAAAATTTATTTTCCAATTTTCTTACTGACTAAATGTATAAATATGGATTTATGACTGCCACCTATCAGTATAGGTTAGTTCAGCTAATCAGTTGACCACTATCTAAGTTTTAAATAACACTAATGTGGATTTGTTCTATTTTCTAATTTACACTTAAATATTACGTTTTTCCTGTGTTTGTACCAATGATTATTCATTTTCTTTTGAAGCGCTAGTGGTGGATCTCTATACGACTTGTGTAGATCTGCTTATCTGTATGACTTTGCTGCTAGTTCAATCAGTTCTCCTTGCGGTGATTTATCCGTTCCTAATTCTGGTGTTTCTAATTCACACACAACAATCCCACAGTCGAAATACCCTGGTTCATTTGATGGATTGCCTGAATCATATATTCGTCAACTACTAACCAGCATCCTTGAAGCTTTGGTCTACATGCATGATACTCTTAGAATGGTTCACCTAGATGTTAAGGTAGGTTTGGGAAAACATCGAAATACAGTTTCTGTTAATTTTAAATGCTTTTGGCTTCAATAAAACTAGGATGCACTTCACATTGTCAAGAAGTGTATACTTTTGCTTTAACTAGATAGTTATCACGAGTGGAGTTGGACGATTTCGAGTTTTATTACAAATCAGTCGAAAATTAAAATGTAGAATATTGGATTCCGACTCAGTAGTCTACTGGCTAAGCACCTACTTTAAGATAGGGCAGTTCTTGGTCCGTGTCCTGCAAATGGTTGTGGGTATTCAGAAGTAATAAGTTCGATAATTAAACAAACAATCCATTCTGTGCTTCTTGGTCTTCAGTATACCCCAATTTGTATGAATCCGTAATAAAAGCCACCTACAAATTTAATTAATCTTTACAAAAAGTTTCGTCAAAAATACAATTGAATACATCGGTCCACCATTTATAACTTATTTCCATACAAAAATTATTCAACATAAAAATTTTTAATTAAAGAGGATAGCCAAGGCCAAAGTAATGATGTTAAGTTATTTTTAGTTGAAAATCCTTTTGGTGATATATGGACCCTTTTTACTTATAATTTTGTATTACATTTTCAGTAAACTAAAAATTTATATTGTCGATGGTGAATGTCTAGTAGATCTTTTTATACTGAATACGGCCCAGTGCTCACTCTGAATCCCATTGTTTACTATCACTATTATAATTATCAATTTTAATTACACTGTTATTTTCATATTATTGATGATTATTAACATATGTTCAAAGTACAAGACTTAGGTTAAATATATGAATTCTTTTCGGTCACTTTTACTTATCATAATGATCATAATCATCATCTTTATCAGCATTACAACAGAAAATTTATTCACTGCATATTACTAAAAGGCATAAACATTCCATTCTAGGTCATTGTGAATATGTTAATTTTGCCCATAAATATTTTTTCCCGTTTTAAACTTTGCAAAGTTTGACCTCCTATCGTTAAAAAAATATTTAGGCATTTCAGTTGTATAATTGTTTAACTATGGGATAAGTTGTCGAAAAATATATTGTGCTCATCACGTAACTAGATTGAATTCTATTTAAGGCTGTGGATATACTCAATCAATCATAAGCAACGTATAACCTGAAACATACTTGAATTGGTCCAAGTTGACATATTAAATCAGCGCAGTAAGATGCAGCTATAATGATAAATGTCAGAGTAGTAGTAGTAACAGTATCAGTGGTAGTAGAAAAGGTTAAACATAAATACGTTTATAAGTTTATATAAAATAATAGTATTGTGAAATGTAAACAGATTTTATATAATTAGTGAATCTTTTAGTGTTTTCTACGAGTTATTCTGCCTGTGAAATGAAAAATCAACGATATATAAGTTCATCTCTAAGAATATATATAATACATCCTGTCAAACTTTTATGAAGACCGAAATGAATTTCTAAGAGTTCTCACTTTTTCACTGGTTAGGGTAAAGATTATGGGTTTGTGATTGAGATTTTTATCATGAGCTATAATGCAAAAAATGCTCTATAGTCATATGGATGATTACGTTTCGCACAAAAAATGAAAGAGATGCTATCTACTTTGTTCGTCCATAAAACATCATGTCACCTGGTTAAAGTTAGTCTCAGGATTAAGGGTTTATAATTAGGATTTGGAGTCAGTGTCCGTTAGGCTGTTATATGCAATGCACATAGGCAAAACTGAGTATTTGGCACGTGTAATATATATATATATATATATATATATATATATATATATATATATATGATGTGGGCTACTTATGAGGAGAGGCAAGTAGTATGTAGCAGGAATTGCAAGTAGAATGCTTACCAGCAGTAGAGTGAAATAAAGAGAGGGGGGAGGGGAACGAAGAGAATTCGGAATAACAACAGGATCGGAAGAATAATGAAGTGTGTAAGGGACAATTGAAGGAAGATATGCGAACGATGTATGGTTTTCATATTTTCCAAAGGCATTGTGTGATTTCGCATAAAATGAGCAGTTGGTTTTCTCCACTAAGTATTCGTTCACTACATACACACATCAAATTCAAGGTTTCTGCTCTCGGTTTTAAAGTAAATTATTTTTGTACTAGCCAAATGATATTACTATCCAGTTGCCCAAAGTGAAGTAGATAAAAGTGAGATTGGGACTTAAAACCTTAATCGTTCAAAGCCACTGCCGGGGAAGTCCTACTCACTGCCTTATCGCGGCGGGGGTGTTGTTTACGAAATTGAGAAGACGAAAAGCAAATATACGCGCTTTAACCGGGTTGGTGGACATGGAGGATCTATATAGGGGAGTTGGGAAACTCTGATTCCAAACCAATGGTGCACATGGGCTCCAGTATCCTGTAGAAACCAATGGTGTATGAACCTATTGTTGATCACCGGCTACCATGGGACTACATCTCCTTACGATGCTCCACTGCCTTGTGGATCAGGCCTTTAGGTCGAAGGCTCGGGGTATGGCCTCCTTAGAAAACCACCTGCTTTGGTCTGGGCACTCGGGCAGTATTATAACCCTCACACATATCAATGATAAATGCTACTGGCCTCATTGTCATTGTGTAGCGCATATTTATTTGGTGAACCCTTGTACCAATGTTTATGTGTTCAAATAAATAAGTCGTGGACTTAGGTTTCATGCTATTCAGTATTTGTTAGCAAGGTGTACCCGTAATCCTAAGGGAACTAAGAATAACCTGGCAGATGACATTGATCGCTACTCAGTGACCAACCTATTGCAAATCCATGTCAGTCTTATAGGAGGTACGTCGTGGCTCAGACAGCTCAGTGGTAACGTCTCTGAATGTGAAGTTGGGTTACACAAGGTCGAAACTGTCAGGGAGCACCTGTTCCCTTGATATTACAGGTACAGCTTACTGACGAGCGTCAAATAGCATGAAACATTAGTTAATGTTTTCCTATCGACTACCTTCAACCACCATATTATCGTGCGACATATGTGTTGGAATCAGATGAATGATTTAAAATGGATTGTTTACACCCACTTGGTGCTCCGTATCAGTTGAATGAGCTAGTGAGCAACTTTTAACTGGTTTTAGTTGTCTCTTACTTAACGGAACAATGCGATGGACCTGGTTACTTGTGGGCTTGATGTAACAGACTTTGTAGGGGCTGTTGAATTGATAAATGCACATAGTTGAAGCGAAGAAGGGTTTGAATTTCCGGTATCGATTTTATTATTATTGTTAAACACATATATTGGCGTAGAGCTATGATGAAAAACCAGTTGTAACAAAATGTTCTTCTCTCTATTCGTCTTATTTAAATAATTAATGTGCTATAGGATTGTTATATTTGATAAATATTAACTTTAATGTTATAAAGTAATCAATATTTTACCCATCTACCTACTTATTTTTTTTTACTAAAGGCTGAAAATCTTTTACTGCGTCAACCCTATCCGTCTACTGATGTATTTTTCACAGATTTCGGTTTAGCGACCATATTAACTGAAGGTAAACAACATCGTGAGCTTGCAGGAACTCCTGATTATGTTGGTAAGTGCATTTGTTTTTTGTCCTTACTCCTTCAAAAAAGATATTGATTTTTTTGTGAGCTTTATGTGAGTACTTCACTTGTTAGATTGATAGTGAAATAACTGAGAGAATATACTCAAAAGTTTAACATTTTTAGTTCTGTTGTGTTCTTGTAGCTGTGTTGGTTAATCGTTCAACTTTCATTGCTCTTCTGAGCAACATAAGTAGAGCCTACTTCTTGTAGAAGATCATCAATAACAACTTTTTTTTAATCCTTATGTCATATCAGTACTATATTGACTCATTTAAGTATGATGTACGCTACTCACAACACTACATGTAAGCAGTGCGTAGTGGAACGCAACTTTGGAGCTGTCAGTCATCAGACGGAGAGAAGAAGAGGATCAATACATCAAAAACACGGTTTAAGCAGAATACTCGAAGACATGACGAGAAGATAGTCCACATTGCAGAACACACTGAAATATGCAAATAGATGATCAAAAGCTATCCATACTTACTATGCAACCAGTTAACGTTCAATCATTTTGCTAATTGTATTGTTCTACATACGTATGTATTTTTGTCTGTCGAAATTTCTACAACTTTATCATTTCAGATTAGTCTTTATAAACATTTGAAAATATGAATTGATCCATTTATTTAACCATTATAACACTCACATTATATTGAAAGTGTTTATATTAATGTATCATCGAAGTATTTCAGTTTTTCCCATTTTCTATATCGCACTTATAACATTTATCAAAAGTAGATTTTGAAATTATTTTTAACTAGTAATCTAATATAATACATTAAAGAGGAAGAATCTCAGCGAAAGAATTTTGACGTAAATTTACTTCAAAATTCTTTTGCTGAGATTTTACAAGTACAATATTTTTCCTCTTTAATGTCTCACATTAACTTGGCGCCCAAATATTGTGACACTTCGTTCAAATTTAGACGAAAGTTCTTATTTAGTAATCTAATGGTTTACATTCAAAGTTGGTATTAGTTTTCAATAAGTTATTTTAATACAATAAGACCAAAATCATTATGTTGATTTGCTTCAAACACACATATATATTACTTAAACAGTGGACAAATGTTATACAATATATTATTGACTTGTAAAGCTGATTACTACTTATCGATCATTTACACTTTCTTTTTTCACCACAATTTCGATATGCATCATATATTTTAGTGCATTGAAATACAGCTTTACTTATCCAACATTCAATATTCTGTACAGTATGTGTATTGTAATTAGTATCATTGCATTGTTTACTGTTTGAATATCTGAAAACTAACGAACTGAATACTGTAACTAGAAGTTGAATTTGCAATATACATAAATTCCGTTTTTTTTTTAGAATATTAAAGTATAATTATGAATGAGATTTCTTTAATTACTCAGTGATTCTTATCATCATCACCATCAATGTTTATATTGAAATGTATATATTCTTAAGAACTTTCAATGAAATATGGACAAACTATAAGCGTAGAATGACGTTAAAGTTATCCCTTAATTTTAATGTGAAATGTTAACCAATGAATAGAATTACTTACTTACTCCTGTTATTTCTCGTAGAGGAGCATAGGCCACCAACCAGAGAGTCTGTGTAAATCAAATTATTTTACTACAGAAGTAAATAAACCTGTTAAAATTTGATAGTTTTAAGAAGTGTTTATTATCAGTTTTCCGATTAATTAATACTTCTAAGAAAAAAAAACAATTAAATTATGATACATATATGTGTATATCAAGTTTATTTTTCAAATGATACTTTGTCCAGTAGTTAGATTGATTGAACTTTATAACTTGTAAATTGTAATTGTTATCAGCATAGAATTGAAAAAGTAAAATAAACAATTTCTATGAAATAGTCAATTATACCTCTTTGAACTAATTACACCATATGAATATCTATCTATCTATCTATACTTTACTTCATGCTATGTTAATAGAATTTCGAATTCTTTTCTGTTTTAGTTACGAAATCAAAACCCAGTCTCTATTTATTATGGGATATATACGTATACATAAATGTATACAATGATAAGTGTATTTGGTAACTTGTGATTTTGGTAAACAGTTGAAAGGATAACTGGTTGAAATCATGAGTCAGTTGAAGCTAGACCACCATGGAAAACCTGAAAGCACTGGATGGCCGTTTCGTTCCAGTATGGGACTCCTCAGCAGTGCGCATCCACGATCCTGCCCCCGCGATCTAGTGAGAAGTCGTTACCAGTGGAGTTCAACCAGGTCTGTTGTGAGATAGGAACTCACTGAAGACAATGGTGTACGGTGGCGCAAATTCGTGGATTGGTTGAAGTTAGACATCAACACCGTTGGATGCCGCCTCAGTGGTCTAGTTGGTTAAGCGCCTGGCGCGAGACTGATAGGTCCTGGGTTCGAATTTCGCGGGGTGTGGGATCGTGGAGGAGTCCCATACTAGGACGAAACAGCCATCCGGTGCTTCCAGGTTTTCCATGGTGGTCCAGCTTCAATTGGCTCATGATTTCAACCAGTGAAGTTTCTAAAAATCTCCACAAAACCCATTCTGAAAGAATAACTAACAAGAAATTTAAAACTATGTAAATTTAGGACTCGTCCGTTGGATGTACCTACATCCCAGTAGTTGATGTTCAATCCGGGACTCGAACCCATTACCATTCGCTTCAAATGTCATCGCATTATTCACTTGATTAATGAGTTCAGAAAGCTATTAGCTTGTGCAACGGGATGAAGTTTTAATTCATTTTTGTATTGGTTGTTTGAATTATCCCATTGATGTTCAGGATTGCGATTGATCAGTCTCACCTAAATTTATACATACTAAATGAAATACAAAGTAATAAATTCAACAAGATAATAATAGGCATTCATCTTTTCTAATTGTCCAATATTTCTGTTTCTATGAAATTTGAATTATAGTGAGTCGAAATTTTTAAAAGCATAATAACATATATTTTAAATGTTATAAGCTTGATTACTTCAGTAACATCAGTAGCATTCCTCAAGTTCTCTTGATATTATTACTATCCTATATTAATGTGTCTTCACAATATAACTTCCAACCAAACCCTTTCATGTAAGTAATTTAAACCCATTATGTAATTATAATTTTAAATATCATAGGTTGTAAGGAACTGAAGAGAACCAACGAAATCAAAATGAGTTCATGCTATTGTGTTAGAATCTTTGTTCTTGTTCTTTTCAAAGCGATAAAGGGAACTATGTGTGAGGAACTAGTATCTTAGATTCCACTGTTAACTACAATCCATCTATTCTAACACAGAAAGAACTGTTTAAAATCATTTTCCTTCTTATCTTTTTCTTTCTGTCAAATAGGTCATCGTTTCTTTTATGATTTTTACCCCTGTCAATTATCATGTGACAAAATCGGCAATCAGAATACCTACTTATATGACCTTAAGGCGAGGGAGTAGGTTTTTTCATTTGATTAAAGAACATGCTTATATACGAATTATTAAGAGAATATTAACCATGATGATATATCTTGAATAGTTGTGATTCTGTAGGTCACTCACTCTACAATGGAATTAAAGCCTCATCATATAAAAAAGTATTCAACCAAGACTTATCTTGGAAGTCTGATGAGATCTAATGGGTTAGTGTTTGACGAAATCTCGGCACGGATTCAGAAAGCTCGTTTGGCTTTTGCGAAATTACGTTACCTATGGTGAAGACAAGATATTTACTTACTTACTTACTTACGCCTGTTACTCCCAATGTAGCATAGGCCGCCGACCAGCATTCTCCAACCCACTCTGTCCTGGGCCTCCTTTTCTAATTCCATCCAATTCTTGTTCATCTTTTTCATGTCTATTTCCATTTCTCGGCGTAATGTGTTCTTTAGTCTTCCTCTTTTTCTTTGGCCTTGAGGATTCCATGTGAGGGCTTGTCTTGTGACGCAGTTAGATGCTTTCCTCAATGTGTGTCCTATCCACTTCCAGCGCTTCTTTCTGATTTCTTCCTCCGCTGGGGAAGACGAGATATCCGTCTATGAATTGAAGGACAGTTCGTTCTGTTCTACTTTACGGCTGAGAAACGTGGCTATTAAGAGTAGAAGTTACCTGCAAGATACTAGTATTTGACAACAGATATCTTAGAAATATTGCTTTTGTCTGGTGGTATCACCGGGTAAGTAATAGTGATGTGAGACGTAGAGTATTATGGAATGGTGGTAAATCAGTTGATGAGGTTGTGAATCTTCATCGACTGAGATGGTTGGGCCACGTGTTACGTATGCCTGAACACCGATTACCACGACATGCAATGCTAACCGGTGTTGGGGATGGTTGTAAGAAAGATATGAGCGACCAAACCAAAACGTGGCATCAGTGCTTGAAGTCACAAACTTGTGGTGTCAGCGATGTTGGTAGATGCAGACTACTTGGTTGGTGTCCGCGTGACAATCGTAACCAATGATTGTAGACTGTGTGTGACATTGCTTTGAATCGATCACAATGGCATCGGTGTATACACTCTTTGTCTTCCCTTAAACTGTGAGATTAAAATCACATTATACCTTTGTTTCTGCGATCTAATCTTTTCTCTTTATATGCAATGTTTATTTTATATATTACCACCACTGAAGTAACTACTATGGGTTTGATGTTCGTCTTGTTTTGCTAATGAGGTGTGGCAACTTGGATGGATACATATGTGTGCCTGATCTCACGTTGTAGCTGGCTTACTGATTGACTGATCAGCCAAGAGTGAAAATTCAAATTACAAGTTGATCACCAAACTACTACATCTATCTGTCCTCTCGTTACGTAGGTTTTTTGTCATTTACGTTGATCAAGCCACGTTGGTTTGCCATCAAAATCTGTTATTCTAGTTTGGTTACAGGCTAGTTGTTACTCATTTTCTTTTTCTTATAAAATATGATTTTTCTGAGCATACAATTGTTTATAAATACGAAATCTAAGTTGAGAGGTTTTTTTATTTTTAAAAATACTAATAAAAAGTGCAAATCCTCACC